GAATGCGGCTCGGCAATAAAGACGGGGGTCATCTTATATGCCAGGTCACCTAATACGCCGGCATATACGGTACCGTTTTGCAACATATACAAAATATTTTGGTCTTAGGAAAAATATACAGGTAGCTTTCGACTTACAGTAGTTCTTTTAATGACTGTTCGAAGTTACAACACACTGAAAAAAAGTGACTTATGACCATTTTTCACACTTAGACCGTTGCAGCAGCCACATGATCACGTGATCAAAATTCAGATACTCAGCAACTGATTCATATTTATGATGATTGCAGTGTCCTGGGGTCATATGATCACTTTTTGTGACCTTCTGACAAGCAAAGTCAATGGGGAAGCCAGATTCACTTAACAATTGTGTCATTTACTTAAGAACTACAGTGATTCACTTAACAAATGTGGCAACAAAAGTCGTAAAATGGGGGAAAATTAATTTAACAAATGTCTTGCTTAGCAACAGAAATTTGGGACTCAATTGTGGTTGTGACCCAAGAATTACCTGTATAGTAAATAAAAAAAAACCAATTGTTCAGCTGAACATAGTTGTTTTATATAAAATTGTATCCATATAAAATTATATAAAATTAAATAACATATATCTTTTTAATTTATATAAAATTGAACTTATCACAGCAGTTCAAAACTTTACATGTCCCCCTTTTAGACTAACTAACAATATAAATAAACTTAATACAACACAGAGATAAAACAACATTATTCTAATTTGGCTTGGTTCACTTACTTGACATTTTCTCTTAGTTGTTTCACTAGTTTAATGTTGACGTCAGCTTCCAATAATGCCGTACAAACTTCTTTTAGCATAGCATTTAAAACCTGCAAGGGCAGAAAGACAATACAAAAAAATTTTCTGTACAATTTATCTATAATTTAATGTTTATAATTTCTCTTTCCAGTGAACAGTTTAGATTAATATTTACTGGGCGGAAAATAATACAAACAAATAATGAAATTTCATATGCTTAAATCTGGTAGACATAGTGGATAGAGAAATATATAAAATTTTAAAAAGAAATCAATACAAAAGAAATAAGAATATTATGAATTAATATTAATAGTAATAGTAATATTACTATAACAATCTACTTAGCAAATGGCACCAATTCACTGAATTTTGACCATTAAATTTCACATAATTAATGATGTATAGAATCCTAACCTTATTACTTTAATATGGGAGTTTTTTCTATCAAACCCAAACTGATAATAATCTTTTCTTTCTACGTAGCTGCCTTTATTGTATCTCATATGGAAAATTTACATACCTCTTCATTGATAATGGTAGCATTGCTCAGGGAGCGCAATGCTGAGGTAATTTTTCTCCCAAGATCTGCTAAAACCATCTTGACAATAGATTCAGTTCAAATATGACCTGTAAAAAAACCATTGTAATATTGCTGAAATTATTCTTCACAAGCTATACTTTATCCTTCATATAATAATCAGTAAATAGTAGAGAGACAGTTGTTCACTAAGTCTCTTCTTCTCCTGAAATTTCAAGACTTACTGTTCCAGTCCCCCAAAATTTTACGGTGTGTTAGGGGTCTGGAACATTAACTCTTGAGACTTCAGTCCCCAGACACTCCATAAAATCTTTGGGAACATTGGAAGAAATACAAAATTAATCATCATCATAATCATAACTATTATCCCATCTTTCATTCAACCAGCTGGATTCATCCTCTTGTTAAAAGCTTCTTTCAAAAAAGAAGAGCACCACTCTTTCGAGGACTAGGATAAATGTAAGTTAATATAAACTAAGATTGCAACTGTATTTTAGTTTAATGATTTTATTATCTGTATTAGAAATATATATTTAGCTTTAATATTGGTCCTACTCAATGTGTGGGGAGAGAGAGATACAGTAGATATATATACAAACATAGATATAAAACAAAGAGATTGCAAGAAAAGCACCATATAGTGCACACAGCTGAGGTTCTGTCTTCTTTTACAAACCATATAGTTGCCTTGAGCAAGATGAGTGGTAAACAAATTTAATAAATGCTCTATTCTTGTTAATTTTACATGTCATTTGTACCATAAATTTGTTCTCAGAACAAAAGTAATCCAACAATAACTATATAATAACAATTCTCATCTACAATACAAGAAATTGATGCTACACTTGCACTGTTGGCAATTTAGGAGGTAGACTATACTGGTTAAATTGGAGACCTTTCCTTCTAGTTTCAAAATTAACTGATCTACTTTATGTATTTATTCAACTTATATGGCTGCCCAGGCAGTCCAGCAAATAAACTTGCCTTCTGCCATTAAGAGCTTTATAAGTGATAATCAGCACTTTAAACTGCACTCAGAAGCTTACTGGGAATCAGCTGTTTGTATTGGTATAATGTTAAGTAGGAGTGTAATATCAGGGTACGCTGGTACATCTGGATACACTGGCAGCTGCAGCTGCAGCTTCAGTGGTCTTTGAGGGGCAGCATTTGTAGTAATCTAAGCAATCTAATAACAACCATCATCCCACAGTGTATATACAATTCTTTCAAAATCCTCAAGAAGCTTCCAAAAGTTTCTGTAGGAACTGGAAAAAGAAACATCTGCTTTAACAATTTGAAAAGAGATGGTTCATACATATTCCTCTGTGTTTCAGAGCATTTCTTTTAAAGGGTGCACATACCCCTAATATATATTATGAAAAAATAACCAATTTTATACAGTATTTCATCAGAGTTTCTAATTCCAGATATGTAATCCAGTATTTGCTGGTCCATGGGGTCGCGATGGGTCGGACACGACTTCGCAATTAACAACAACAACAATTTGCTGGTCATATTTTGGGGGGAGGAAAGTCAGTAACTGCCTCTATGGTTTATTTGTCATAATATTTTATGACTTTCTGTCCTGTTAACTGGTACCCTTTAATACCTGCAAACATTCATTAAACAAATATAAGATTGCTCATCTAGCTGAATAATTAATTATTATTAACCTTAATTAAGTGGAAGGAACTATAAAGAAAAAAAATGAAACTAGAATAACTAAATTTCATCTATAATTCTGTTAACACTTTTAAATATATTTAATAGCGCAGAAAGGCTTCAAGGCAAGCAAGCATATTTACAATTGCACTGCTAATTATATCAACCGATAGGGGGAAGGGAACCTGTTCCATTTGTAACATATTATAATTTTGTGAACTGCTTTAGGAGATAGGAGATGACAAATAGTTTAAATTCCCATTTTACTCATTTACAGGATATATTTAAACTAGCCACTGGTATAACAATAATAAAGAGGTCCAGATTATCTGTACTGTTGTTCTAATAATCTGTTGACCGAACTTCCTGAATTCAAAATTAGGATGAAACAATTTGACCGTGTGACAGCATTTGTTCAAAAAACTAGAATCTGTACAAGAAAAATATTATATTACTTATAAAATATTGCAACACAAATATTGGATGAGTCTGAACATAAACCATAGTTTAAACTATAATAATCAAGTAAAACTCAAATTATCCTATAATTGCACATTGAAATAAATTCTCAGTTTAGCATACTCTATAGTGGAATTCCAGTCCGTGTATATCCCACTATGTTGTACACGACCAAGAAAAATAACTGGATACATCATGGTTCAATAAAGACGGTATGTGAACCTAGCAGGTATAACGAAAAATATAGCCCAGACCAGTTTTTGATCACAGGTCACCCTTAGACACATGTATAAAAGGGGAGAATACACATTTTTAAAAAAAAGTATTACTATATATCTGGGTGTAAGAAAAGTGTCCAGGTTACTTGATGGGCACAGAGGATTTCAATTACCCCAGAAGAGGCTTCTTCCTCCAGTTCAACCAGTGCAACTTGTGGCATCACTGCAAAAGCAGGATCTATCTATATTTTTAACTTCACAGAATAGCACCTGTGCTTCCCCTCCGCCCAAAGTTCTCAAATTTGTACGTATGCAAAGGGGCATGTCAGGGTAACCTGAAACAGTCTGGAGAAGTCTCACATTTGCGGACTCGGGTAACCGAAAAGCTACCAGCCTTCCACACAAACCTTACCGAGAAGTGAAGCGGCGGCCTGATCTGGCCCCGCTCTGAAACCCACACAACAGCCCGGGCCTCTTAGGGGGTCCTCAGAAAGCCAGTAAACCAGACCCGGCACCAATAATCGACTCCGATCCCTCTCCAGCATCCAAACAACCAGGAAGAGTGTCACGTCACCACTACACAAATCAGACAGTTATCATCCTTCCCAAGGCAAACTCAGACATCTGCTTCCGGGCCATCTGTGAGAAACGTCCTGTTTGAGACAGCAGTACGATACACGAAAAGGAAGATGTGCGCGTTGGCTTCAGCTTCCGAGTATACATTTCTTCGTTGAAAATGGTTGTAACGTATATCCATAGAAATACATTTAGAACTGGTTATAAAACAGGACAGTCTATATTTTGTTTCAGCGTTTTGCAAAAAACGATTTATATCTATCTGATCAAGTGCCTCATAGTTTCTGTAACTTTAAGATAGGTGGACTTCAACTCCCACAATTCCCCAGCCAGATTGGAGAATTTTGGGAATTGTAGTTCACCTATCTTAAAGTAGCTGAGGTTAAGAAACACTGTCAAAATAACATAACGAGGAAAGGAGTAAGGACTTTTGAACTCAAGGGGCCAATTTCTGTCTAAATTACATAAACTTCTGCCAAACTATGTTCTGGCCCAGATTCCTAGTGATAAATCTTTTTTAGTCTTTTAACACAATTTAAAGCCAACATTCAATTTGCTAAGGTTGGCTTCTTTTTTTGCCAGAGATAAAATGATAAAATCAACATCATTCGGAATTATTACGCCAAGAGCTGTATTCAAAAACAGCATAATTATTCATCACCACACAAAACAATGTGTGGACACAGTTCTTGAAACGCGCCTATACTGTCACCATCTTTAAAACAAAAGAGGAGGAATACCAGGAAGTTCCGGGAAGACTCATCGTATTCATAATCCCCGGAGCAGGGAGAAATAATGGCAACTACTTTTGCGCATGCGTTCAAGGCCGGGAGGTCGGGTAGTGACGTTTTAACTGACTTATCTAGGCGTAACGAGAAAGATGATCGAGGCGCGCTTGCGCGGTACCTTCAATCAGGTAAGGATGGATTTTCCATCGGCTCGCCAAGCGGTGTTGAACGTGATAAAAGGTGTGCGCGCGGGGGAGTTGCCTCGCCTGCTACACTGGCTGAGAACATCTAGTAAGCCAAGTTTCTTCCTAGGCCTCGTATCTCCAACACTTGAGATAGTATAACGTGGGGTCGCCAGCCAGTTACGTGTACTCTTTTCTAGGATGCGCCTTTCCATTTTTCTTCCCATTTTTTCGCTCTGTTCTATATTCGGAGCGTTTGTTTGTTTTATACTTCGCTTATCTGCCCCTTTTTATCCTGACTTTTATTGATTCTGTTATGGGACTGTTGACTTGGAAAAACTGCATGCTGAATGCGGGTTTAGTTTATCACACCAAACATGCTGAATCAGATTAATTGGTCATTTGGTCCAATGTATTGTATTCCTCAGTGACTGGGAAATCCAGAAGAAAGATACGGCATTCTATATTGCTCTTCAGTAAGAATACATGGAAGCTGTGCTGCCTCTGAAATTCGTTTGATACAGGCATTATGATGGATTGCCTTTAAGACTAATAGTAGGCACAAGTCCCACTGGCTTCACTTTTGCATCTGGTTTCTTAGTATAAAATTTGTTCTCTCTGTAAAACCATCTAAATGTATGGCCTTTACTATATCGCCAAGCAAAAAAATTAGAATATATATGTATTAAGACAATTGCTTATGTTACAGTCTTTGGACATCACTGAACATTCACTAGATTACAATTTGGGGGCATTGTTGGTAGTGAATTTGAATGATTTGAATGTTTTCTATTTTTTTATTTTGCAATATTATGTAATGGATTTTTATCCCAGGAATTTACCCTTTTAACAGTCTCTTAAGGATCAATCTTGGACACTATTTTCTTTTTGTTGTTCTGTGGGATGCTCTTGATTCCTTATCAACATTTCCAGCATCATGGATATGCTGACAAGTCTATCAGTCTTTTCTGACCCTTGTTGGCAAAGCATGGTCAGTTGTAAAAAAAACATTTTATCAACATTTCCTCTTAAATACCCTTTTACTGCCTTAGTGCTGAATATGGATAAAACTGAGACTGTCCTGTTTTGGCTCAATTGTCATTCCAGTCCATTAATGAGTCTTTCCCCTGTTTGTCTTCAGGGCTGCTGCATTGCCCCCAGTTTCTTCTTTAAGGCCTTGCATTCTTGATGGATAACCAGCTGACTTCATGGCTGTTTACTGATTGTACAGCTAGTTATATTATTTTTCTTTTGATGAATGTTTGTAGAATCTGCATTTCTTGGAATCCATGCATTCAGCAGCCGTGTTAAGTAAGGCTATTGCCTTGAGTTTCACATGATCATTGCAAAATCTGATTTCCCTGTTTTTTGTAGATGACTTTGATGAATTTACATGCAACAACGATGATGCCATTCTCAGAAGTATTGCTGAAGATATTCAACATCGTTTGCCTCTTGGAGCAGTGCTCAACTCAGAGCATAATGCTCTTCAAAAAGTAGGTTTTGCTATTCAACCTTCCCATAAACATTGACAAGTGGTTTTTAAACAGAATTTTCTATAATGTCATCGACACTTATGGCTTTGTTGGCTTTTTTGTTCATGTATTGCCAACACAAGACAGAACATAGATTAAGTCTTAAAGTAGACATTTGTGCAGCAATACCTCTAGGAGGTATTGATTATAATTATACCAAGATTATTTTTAAATTAAAGTGCAAAACAGTCTTTTGATTGGCCTTATCTTTAAAGTTCCGTATTCTTCATTGGTAAAATGGAAGTATCAATGTGTTGCTTGTAACGAGATACTATATTGGTTCAATTGTACTGTTCAATTTTAGAATAAGGTGTTAGAATGTTATAATATATTGACATATTTGTATACTGTATGTCTCGGTAGATTTGGACATATTCCAATACATAATAGAATGCTCAGCCGATTGCCTTTATCCCAGGGATAGTCTCACCATTAGCTAATGTAAAGCAGTCTTCTCAATTGGGTTGATATTGGGATGTAGCAAGAAGGTCTTGGAGGACAAAGCTATGTCCCACATCCTGCCCTTGAAGTTAGTCTGCTGCCTCAAGGTACATGAACAGTTAGGAGCAGCATCTTTTTATTTTGTTCAAGCAAGAACATTCTTTGCCCTTGTCTGCCCACTGAATCAGCAATATATGGCTAAATCTGGTGAATATCTGGATTCTACTAAAGTGGAAAATAGATTGTTGTTTCCTATAGATGAGTAAGTGATTTTTTTTTTTACTTTGCTTGTATAGAAGCGTCTGAATTTTCTTACAGAAAATTGGATTGGAAGCTGTTAATTTCCATCAACAAATCTCTCATTGGTGTGATGAATAAGTAGTAGTTTGTTGTCAATTGAAAACACCACAAGCAAATTAGTGTGGGAAATTCTGTTTCTTGGATTCTTTTGATATAAAAGGGAGGAGGATTCACTTTTTCATGAAGAGAGGACTGATAGCTATCAGGTATCTTTTCCACTTCAGAATCAGCTCTTAGAAATGTTCATCCTTTAAGGTTATCAGGAGCGATTTCGAACTGGAAGAAAAGCTATGGCTCTATGCACAATTGTCTCCTATGATGATCCATGTAAGCCACAGGATGAAATGTCTCTTTACCTGTGAAGAATTACCAAGTATTAAGAGTAGATCTTTTTAATTTGATTTTATGGCGTTCTTTTGTACCTTTATGATGCTTAATTTTTCCATTTCATCTCTGTGCATTTATGATTGTGAACTACTAGAATCATTCAGATACGATGGATTATAATTTCTATAAATAACATGAAATGTATGATTCTTGAATTTCAATGGCATATAAGCTGTGAGAGAAAATGTCACAAATATATATCAACTGTGATTTTTTTTCTTTAGCTTCATGAACAGACAGTCCCCACCATTCATGTTGATGCTTTCCTTTATGATGATGACTGTATTGATTCTTTATGTCAAGAAGGAAAGATGAGCAGAAATTATTGTCTAACATGTGGCTCTTATCAGACAGCACCATTAGGTAATCAGTTATGAATTTTACTTTTTTACCAAACTACAGCATTAATCTGTGTATTCCTCTGCTGTACATCAGGATGAACATTTTGGGCTGGAGTTTGTGGGTACCTATATAATATAAATATCATGAGGCCTTGCCTGTTCAAAAAATAGCTCCTGTGGAGGTAAGCCACGCACAAAGCATCTTTTGATTGGAAGGCGGTTGATGAGGTTGCTTCTCAATAAACAGGTACTTCGCACTCTCCAGAAAGCTTTGTAGCAACTTATTATAACTTTGCATTTTTTTTAAATCATGTAGTAAAAAAGCACTATATCCCATTTATTTTCTAAGAATGCTGAAAGACTACATTATATGTTTTCACCTTATGGTTTTCAAGATTTCCATTATGTTTTTGGTTCTTAGCATAAACTCTAAAAGAGAGTCTGGTCACTAGGACAGAAAGCCTAGTAAGTGCCAAAGGCAATGTCAATGGGTACATTAGCCTCTGCATATATTAAGATGCATGCTCTTGATCCAGTGTTTGTTCCTAAGTAAAGGATGCAGCTTCTCATCAGCATTTTGTCATACTTGAGTGAATTCCCTAAGTTCTGGAAGTCTCTGCCAGTTATTAATGTATAAGAAATTCACAATCTTAAAATTAATTAGGACATTTGGGAATGGAGGGAATTCTTGGGGAATGCATCATACGGGATAGTGATACATTTCCCTTTTCCTTCTGCTTTAAGCATTTTTGGTCTAAAATCTATACGGCATGTGGTTCAGTCTTCATTCTTAAGAAAGTAAAAAAAATTGAAAATGCTTTAGAACTGGCCTTTTCATTGAACTCACTGAACAGATTTCTCTTGCTATTGTTGTGCTGTTATCTTTTGTAATTTTTGGTATGTTTTATAAGTTCATTTATTTTACCAGATTTGGAGGTTGCCTTCAGTGAAAAATTGGCTGTTTTTTAATCAATAAAATTAATATGCATGCTTGCTATTCTGAAATGTGGGCATTCCCAAAGGATAACAGATTCTCAGTGGGATTCTGTTTAACCATTTTTATTCCACCTTCACAAACCAGCTAAATTTGAGTTCAGGAATGTGTATAAAAATAGCTAAAATGAATAAATTAAAAGCGAAACAATTCCTCTAGTACATTTACAGTTTGCAAAGTGTCTAATTGGTTTGGCTTTGAAAACTAATCTTATTTGATCCACAGATTCCGTTATTTTTTATTTTTGGGTTATTGCCTTGGGTTACTTTTAGAGTAATAAAGGTGGGATAAAAATCTAATAAATAAAGACATCTCTAATTTATAGGACGTGAAGTTATATATTCAGAAACCTTTATATATGTACTACATAACTTTTTGCTTGAGCAATACTGTTTTAATACTTGTAAATTGTCACAAAGACAGTACCAGCACCAAAATTAAAAAACCTTCAAACTTCAGAAACCATTAGTATTACATTCATATATTTTTATATTTCAGATTTAAATAAAAGTTTTATCAGTTCAGAGTAGTTCACATTCAAATATTATGTAATAGAGAAGTATATATTAAATTCATAAGCACTTTGAAAATTTAGAAGAACTGTTTTGGATCTGATTTGAATTCAGCTTGGGCAAAGTCTCCACTTTTATTAAAACAGAACATCTTTCTTCAGGCTTTCACATAAGCCTGAAAAGAAATTGCATCCACTTTAAGGAGACAAGTCTCTAAATCTGATGCAACTTTTTAAGGTTTCGAATGAAAAAAGACAAACAGCAGAAAAATATAATGCTTGCATGAGATCCAAAAAACTTTTCCCAAATTATTTTCAGATATATTTTTTTTTTCAGAATGATTATGAATCAAGGAATTGTGATGATGATAATCTATTTTCAAATGTCCAAATGACAGATTAATTTGTTTTCAGAGTGATTAGACATGAACACCTTTGCAATCTGGAATATGTTTCAAAGTCAGCATGCTAAATTTTGTTGTTGTGCTCACTTAATACAGTGCAAGGAGGAAAAAAAAAATAGAATCCAGGCTTTGCTGTCCGCATGATAGTCCCCAAAATAGAATAAGCACAGATGAAAATGCTGTCTTTGCAAGATTCTAGCTTCTCAAAGAACCATATTCATAATGTATTCCATTTAAATGCATATAGATTCTGTTCAGTTTTCAACTATATATATGAGGCTGGTAGATGCTAAACAGAGCCAGATACTAGATACGGCAAATTCACCTCAGAAGGTCATATGCAGCCATTGCTTTTTCAAAATCGCAGCAGAAATGTTTAATATCAAAATAGGCTTGGCAATATTTTTTATCACTGCCCCAAATTGAAAATGAGAATTTTCTTCAGAAAGTTTTGTTTTAATCCAAGTTCTTGTAATCTTGTATTTCATGCTGAATGCTAACCATGGCTGCAATGTGCTTTGTTTTATTGTTGTTTCCCAGAATTCATTTCTCATTCCTTTTCCCTCATGGAACTGAAGTTCCTGTACCAGAAAGTACTGCCTGACCTGACAGGGAAGGTTCTGGTTGATGTGGGCTCCAGGCTTGGAGCAGTCCTGTTTGGGGTAAAAGCTGCACCAGAAATTGATTGACAGTCTCTGTGTTTTCTCTCTATCTCTCCTTCTGCTGGTAGTTATTGTGCTGTATAATGTTATTTAAGCAAGTTTCTGGTTGGTTATTTTTTGAACCTGAATTTATTATTGATTTGCTGGGTTTTTTTACATATTTTATTATTTTGACATTTGATTACTGACTTTATTCAACTTGAATATAGCTTTTAGAATGCAAAAGTAGGGGCATATATCCTTTATTACAGGAACCAGCATATTATGGTCATAGTATAATTAAAGACATGAATAACCTCAGAAATAACAGGCTGTAGCCATCAAGCTCTAGCCTTGAAAAGGAAGGATGCTGGCATTATCCTTTGCATGTTTTTAGAATTAACTAATCTCTTGTGCGGTGGTGATATACCTGTTCTTGGCTTCAGAAACTATTTTTAGCAAGTAGATGCAGAATCAGTTTTCACAACATTTATCCTAAAATAGAAAATATAATTATTGTTTACATTGTTCAGAAGTTATAACCTGGAAGACAGATGCAAAAAATATTTATTTTTAAAATTGATATTTTAATCAGAATCTTGAATTCTATAAAGCTATGGCAACTTGTCAGGTTTTATTTGAAGAGGCTGGTTTAAAACTAAATCTTTTTCAAGCTGAGTTTGATTTCTCTTCACTTTGTAAATATGTTCATGCAGTCTTCCCAGAAGCTGCAGAGAAGTAGCTTGCAGTTGCGGCCTTCTGTGATGTTTCTTCTCCCCCCCTCCTCAGTTTTGCAGCCTAGCATAGACCCCTGCTATTCCTTGGAGTCCCAACATTTTAATAACAATTTATAAAATTTACATGCCACAGGACTCTCAGTGATTATGCTTAATTCTGCTGAAAATTATTTTGAAAAATATGTAGTTTTTATTGAGACAGAAATATAAAATTATTAAATGCATGAATAATATTAATAGTGCCTAATTACTTTTATTTAAATTGTAAAGTCAATTCAGTTAAACCAATTGGTCTGTCCGGAACATATCCTCTTTTTAGGGTTTGGCTCCAGCAAAGCATTCAAAAGCTTGATATTGCTTTTGTTCCCCCCAAATTAAGCATTTCCTGGGGTGCCATGTGAGCATGTATTTAGTATAGTCATTTATAATAGGGTTTGTACACATTTTGAAGGCAAATTCAGATGCATACTATAGTTCAACTCTGTATTCCAATCCAGTTTAGAAACTTCTTAACATTTTTTCTACTTTTTATTTTAGGCCTACTATTATAGTTCAGCATCCCAAATCTACGGAGTTGAAATGAATGGAGACTTTTGCCAGTTGCAGGAAGCTATCATTTCAAAATATCAACTTGATGACAGAATAAAGGTGAAACAACCCATTTAATTGCTTGGTTTATGTATGGAAGGGATGCAAGTTAGCATATGACAAAGTCAGCTGAGCTTCATTTGTAAATAATTATTTTCTACTGTGAAAAGGAAGAGGAATATAATAAAGTTTTTATAGGTTTGATGTTGAAGAAATCTTGTAGCAATCCAAATCGTTTGTCTACCTAAGTTTTTGTAAGGACATTTCCTGTACAGTAAAGAAAACATCCAGCATTTTTCTAATTCTCATGTGTTACACTTCCCGTGTATTAGCTTATTATCATTCTGATAATTCTGTAAGGAAGCAAGTTTCCACATTATTGTACATTCTTACATCAGTGTTGCAGCTGTGGAACTGAGGCGAAATTGAAGTCAAGAATGAACAACTTCCTTAATATTTATAGCCAAAATGAGAAATTTCTGATTCCTACCTAAATTCTTATCTACAATTTGATACCATCTTATATGAATATAGAAGTACAGATTTTGATATTTTGCAATAACTTTAATCCTACAGTCTTCCTTAATGAGCAGAATATTTGACCATCCACCATTAAGAGAGTGTGTTGGGTTGAGACAGTGCTGGAGATCCAAGCTCAGCAAGAATCGTTGTACTGTACTCCTGAAGTGCTTTGGGGTATATGCACTGTACTAAAGGAATACCAAGTAATGAAATAGCAGGTTTCCATTTTAAGCAATGTTCATAATCTGATTATTTTAGATGCAGAGTACAGGCTTAGTTCAGCTACTTAAGGAGGAGACAGGAAGTTCCCTCATCACTTCAACCCACAGACTACTAAGCATAGGCCAACTGAGAAACAGACACTGGGTGTGTGTGTATACAGACCCTTCCTCTTATCTGTGTCTTACCATTTCCCTTAGTGACAAAACATTCCTAAGTTAAAAAAACAGGGAGTCTTCAACAAGCAGACTTCATTTCTCCGTTCACTTTCAGTTCTGTTTCATACTTATGGCACTGTGTATTTCACAGCTTGCTTACTACATAATTTTTAATTTCTTATATAATACAATGATAAGATTAATGGCAAGCTGCGATATCAGAACAATTATTTTCTAATGGATTGATCAAGAGATGAGTCATGTGTAATAATGCAAGAGTAATAAAAGGGTCAGAACTAGATGGTTTTCCTTGATCTGCACATTTTTTAACAATCTTAAATATTATTACATGGTTTTTCATTTGAACCTTTGCAAAATCATTTCCCTTTAGGTGATTAATGCAGATATTTGTACTCAAGCTTCACTTCTTCAAAATGCAGACATTGTTGTAATGAATAATGTCTTTGAATATTTCCTTGACAGATCGGAACAGGCTAGGTAAGTGTTCTTTGTTCTGGAAATCTCTAGAAACTAGAAATACTTAACACCCAACCTATGCATGTTGTTGTTCTTTAAAATCCAAGCCAATATATAAAAATATAAATTGTGAAAACTGATTTATATTCCTTTGTGCTTTATTGGGATGCAAAAACATTCAGAATAAAGACAGCTAAATAAAAATATTTCCTCTCGCTAAGGCTAAAACCAGACACTTACACTTGTGCCAAATCCAATTATTTTATTTATTATTTATTAAATTTCTATGCCACCCATCTCCCTACCAAGTGACTAGTTTGGGCAAAATGAAAATCGGTCTAAGATCAGCTTGCCATTTTAAATACATTTTGAAACCATTCTCATACTTGATGGACCTCAACAATATGAAACATGATTTTCATGCTGTGGTTGGTCGTAATTTGTGTAAGGTTACCTTCTGGTTCAGTGTGCTTGATTTATTTTATTTGCTTTAATATACAAAAATAAATCTTTTAAAAGACACCAAACAGAAAAGAAGAAAATGAGAAATGTTTGATTTTTTTTAAAAAAAAAAAGATTAAAACTAGAGTCTTCAAAATGTTCTAGTCAAATGAGAAATGTGAAAATACAAAATAAAATTATTTTGTTTTTCTTATATTTTTTCCAGGCTGTCACATACATCGAGAGAAAAACACAAAGTTTTTCCTCTGAATTTTTGTTCTAGTTTTTCATATTCCACGTCTAACTCTGCAGATGAAATGCTAAGTTAGGGATCAGATAAGACTATAGCTTACAAGAATTGTGACTTCTCCCATTGTCACCCACTTTGCATTATGAAATCATAGTTCTGAATAAAACCTTTAAATGTTATCCCAAATATTCTGCAAAATAATGTGCCACATCTAACATTACACGAGCTGCATCTGCTTGCTCTGTTATGACTCCCAGACCTGATGGAGTGCCACCAAAGATCCCCTATTCCTGCAAAACATATCTGAAATACTGTATATGGGGAAAGAAGAAATAATTTGATGTCAAATGCTGCCCTGTTAGTGGAATGACACAGTAGGATAGAATCCTGTATTTTTACCAATCAGAAAGATCCCCCTTTCTTTATTACCACAAAATGCTTGTCATAATTTCATATTATAAAGTAAATCTGTAGATTTATAAGGAAATAGAATCCAGTACAAACCCAACTTGATCCTATTGTTCTCAATATGATATTCTAGCAGGCCGAGTTACTTTTCCTATATTATTCAGCCTGTATAGGTCTTTTCTTTTTTATGCAGCTCAAGCAGAATCATCGAAACATTTAGAAGCTTCCCAGCTCCCTCACAGATCAACTGTTGGGTGGTATCTTATATTGTTTCATATAATAGAAATTTTGGAGGAGCTGCTTTTCTAATAAATTTACTTTGTTTTACTCCTAGAGCATGGACAATCGTAAGTCAAAATATAAGAAAGCCAGGGTCTTTGTTAGTAACTGTCCCAAACCTTGAAAAGTCTGTCTCAGAGCTTCAGGTAAAGAGCTATTTTTCAAACTATTTATATGGCAAGATTTTCCTTGGTGCGTGTTTTAGGTAAATCATGAATTTATTATAGTCTCTTGGAGGTGACTACATTATACATTATAATGAACTTAGGAAATTGATCATGGGAGATGGCTTTGTGATTGCACCATTTGATTTAATCTTTCACACGTTTGCAATTCACTAAACCACAGGTGTCAAACTCACGACGTCACGTGATATGTTGTGACGTATCGCAACTTTTTTATCATTGCCGGCACGGTTTTGCTGCATCTGGCCTGTGGGCTGGCAGTTTTACACCCCTGCACCAAACAATTTCAGGAGGAAGAAAAATGAAAAGAGCAATCTTTTTCCACTCTCCAGAAATCTCAAGCTTTAATTGGTAGGAAAATCAAGGGAATTTTTTTATCAGGATTGGGAAAAGCACATTTCTAAAACTTTCTAAAATCTTCCTCCTGAAACTTATTCAGCCCAGAAAGCTGAAACATCATTTTAAAAAAAATATTATTCTGTATGATTAGAATATGTTTCCAAATGTTATGGGAAATCTCACGTATTTTCTTCTCCTTCCTTTTAATTGATTTGTCTATACAGAAACAGCATCATTGTAAGATATAGAAATATATTTACATCTGCTCTGTAGGTATTGCCTAGTCTCATTTCACAAAAAATCAGATGTTAAAAATGTTCTCATTTTTTTATATTTTTAGATGTTGTTAGATGTTACTTTGCTTACCTACCTTCAGCAGTTCTGAGATGTATATTATTTTATGTGTTGTAGTGAATTGTTTTAATTTCTTTTCAGGTGGACATTCAGTTCAGCCAGTGGGTAGAAGCAGTACCAGTGCAATATGATGAATTCTTAGAAGATGCTGATAGAGAAGCACTTGAACAAATTTACCTGTACAGAATTCTGTAGCATACAAAATATGTACATTTGCATCAAGTGCTTTTTAAATAAAGAACATTTTAAAGAAAGATATAATGTTGCAGTTTGTTGAACTTTATGTGTCAAGATCTGCCTTTGAAAATAATACGGAAAATCAGAGATGCATTTCTGGTTAAATAAACATGAAGGCATTAAAAAAAGAATCTCTCTGGTTTATTTCTAGTGAGGATTGCTAGTTAAAGAACTGGAAATGCTTCATTTGCCATAATTTACAACATATTGTTCCTTCTCTGGACTAGTTTTTTATATTTTTTCTTGGCATTTAAACATGTGGTACATAGCTCATACAATTGTTCCAGGACTTATTTCTTGGCTACATGAGATACATGTTTTCTCTAGGGCGTGCCTCTTTGATTAATTTCTTAACTTGGAGGAAGAGATGACAGTACTTTAAAACTGCAAATTATTGGTGGTTACTTAAATTATTTTGATGGCACTGTGTATATGTCCTCTTCTTAGAAGGAGGGGGGCTAAGAGGAATCCATTTATGTGCAATACAACAATAAATACTGTCCATAGAAAAATAAAGCAGTAATTAATTGGTTGTTTTTTTCTGGAAAAAAAAACCTACGGAAGTAATCCAGCTCACTTATTCTCATTTCAATTTTCTTTTAAATCACTCAGTCATAAAGAGTAGAACAAATTGTCCTGTAATCTGCTGCGTGCCATTATTTCCCATCTTCAATACCCCATTGCCAATTTAGTGATTGGGTTTCTTCTATATTATTACTGATACTGCAGAAGCCTGAAAAACAGTTGTAGCATCTTTTGCTCCTTTAATCAAATGCTGGCTCAAACTGGATAGGAGAAGATACTTTTGTTTGAGGAGGGGTAGCACTGATGATGTTACCTAGTTTGGGTAACGAAATGTATGCAAGATAACAAGTTCAGAGAGCATCAAGGATCCCTCATTTCTACCCTGAGCTACAAATATTCTCCTCTGTTAAGACTTTTCTTTCCCTAGCCTACCAGAAAAAAAACACATTGCTAGTGAGAAATAGTTTCTACAGCTTTTCTACTAGCAGTTTACTTTCCTTGAAATCCAGACTGGAAGAAAAAGGCAAACTCTTCTTGAACAGAAAGAAATTACAGTCCCAACTTCTAACCACAATTGGGATCAGAATTTCCACTGCTATGCAAGGTGGCTGTTAAGTGAGTGGTGCACAATTTTATTATCTTTTTACCACTGTTGTTAAGCAAATCACTGCAGTTAAGTGAATTTGGTAAATTAAGCAAAGCTGGTGTAAATTCAGATTTAAAGGGAATTTAGCAAACCATTTGGTAGAAATTCCTGATGCTAGGAAGGTTATCTGAATTTATTAGCAAATCTATAATCTTGCAGGGCTTCTATTTTCACTATTATCACGTAGAAAATTATTGAAACATTGTTTGCACAGTGACTTTTTTCATAAAATATTATGATTTTAAATGCAAGTATATATTTTCAACAATAGATTTTCTTCCTAGCATTTTCCTGCAAGTTCAGGGCCTGTTTATTTTTGGATCAACCAAACATGAGCCATTAGTTATGACAGGAATTAACTTACCAACTTGTCACATTATGGGTTGAGTGACTAATCTCAAGTCATCCAGATAACTTTCATGCTCAAAGCAGAACAAACTCATAGTCTCCTGATTTCTAGTTGAGTCTAACCATTAGACCAAATTGGCTGTCCATTGCCAACAATAACTGAATTGTAAGTTGCCCAGTCATTCCTTGAGATAGTCAGCACAGAAAATAAGTAAGTAGGTAAATAAATTCTTCCAAATCCAGAAGGTTACAATTGTCCCTCCAGTTTGGCTTGACTAAAGCTGAATGAGCTCTGAGCTCTGTAGAACTATATCAGCAACTCCTGGGGCAGTGTGAACTTTCTGAGTTGATGAAGGAAGAACATTCTTTGTTGTGCCTTTTTAATGATGGGTTTAATGTTACATGTCCATTTCAAATCCTGGGAGATTATAGTACCCCAAAACTTGAAGGACTCTACTGGTGATACTGCATTGTCTAATATAGTAAGAAGTGGTAGAATAGGAGAACTCCTCCTAAAATCCACTCTCATCTCTACAGTTTTAAGTGTGTTCAGCTCCAGATTGTTCTGGCTGCACCACAGGGCCAGTTGTTCAACCTGTCTACATGCAGACTCATCACCATCTTGAATGAGACCAATGACTGTTGTATCATCAGGATAAGTTTTTATTCCTTTTTTGTAATATACTTTCTTTAAGAAATGACAAATATATTGATAAATGAAACCAACAGTCCATATTTTTATTATCCATTGCATAAAACAAAACTCATCCCAAATAGTGTATAGTTTTATTTAATAGATTGTACTGATGTCTACTGTGTTTCAAGAGCTATTTATAAACTTTATTAGAGTTACCACTAGATGGCATTCAGTATCTTTGGTTAAGGATAATTTATAAAGGTAGCCCTAACCTTAGTTGATTTTTTGTCTCAATTAATTTGTTTCTGAGTAAACCCAAACCTCCATTAAAGCAAGTAGTAATCATTTGTAGAATATCCACAAATGTGCTTTATTGGCAAACCAGTGGTGGAAAGATAATTGTCCTTCAGTTTAACTATTAATACAAATATATCAATTCATAGTAACAAATCATGGAGAATAAAGCAATCAAAATATATCATTGACATATTCACACTTTGATTTAACCATTGTTAAATCAAATTAATTAATTAAGCTGGCTTGTTTACCTAATTGTCATAATTCATGATTTGCCACTCTAAAGGCAGAGATCAACAACACATAAGCCCAAATCAAGCGAATCAATTATGGCTTAGTTAGTAAGATATATCTGTCAGGAGAATGATATCACAAAGGTGCTATTCAGTGCTTTTTTTCTTAAAAAAAAAAAAAAGGTGCCGGAACTCACACATGTAATACAACTGCCTTGCCTACTCTACAAGGTTCCATCCAAAAAATGTGCCAGAACTCCGTTCTGGGCGTTCTATGAGAAAAAAAGCCCTGGTGCTATTACATTTGTGTCCTGTTTCTGGGTTTTCCATTGTCGAGCAAAATAAGGCCAAAAATAAGAAAGGTGGAAGACTTATTGAAGTCATCAGGTTCATCCTGGTAACAGCAGAAATCTAACTAAAGCATCTCTGAATTGGCTATCCAATCTATTGGATAAAATGTCGTTATCTAATGAGGAGCTCATACAACCAAGATTTTGCTCTACTGTTACCTATTTTTGAAGTGTATCTTCCCCAAATTCCTTTTAGGCCAAGTGCAATTCTCAGCTGAAAACATTTATATACTCCTGTCATACCTGGTATGAAAAAAATATTTCACACTATATTCTTCAGAATGCTGGTATTCTGTGAAACAGTAATAGATAGATTTTTCAAATAGAAGAGCAGTAATTAAGAGAAGCCTCCATCTTCCTTTCCAATGCATAAGCATAAGTAAGTTTTGGAAATTAGAGATCACATTTTTAATTCATAAGATGTGCCAGTAAAGACTAAAAGGTGCCATACAAATGAACAATGCATTCTAACTCTGTCTTAAAATGCTCCTGAAATATACAGACAATATGTGTAAATTGCTCATATGTTGGTAGAAACCAGCATAGAAAGTATTTTCTCAGCTAAGAAAAAAATTTTTAAAAGTCCATGGGAGAATCTCATAATACTGAGATCCAAATTGAACTAATGTTAACTATGAGGTGTCAAAATATGGATATCAAATGCAACAGTACAGTTACTTACCAGGCAGAGGTAGTTTCCATACTATAATCCACTTTTCTTATTGTATTTATACCCTGAATTACTTTTCCCAAAGAAATCTCTTTGCTCATCTAACTCTATGCCAGAAAACACTTTGTCGTAGTGTTATCTGAGATAGGAAATTAGATTATTTCAGAAAAAATAAAATCCTGTTTTATAACAAAAATATAGTTATATATTTTCTTATTTTATCTTCTTATTTATATTGCATCCTTGCCTTAAGGAACTGAAAGACTACATTGTAATCTCACAACATTTTTAGGCATTAGATTAGGAACACAAACCAGGATCTAACAATAGAACTACTTACAGAGCCACAATGGAAAAAAAACAAAGAAGATTGCGCAATTCCAAAATCCATCTTCCTCATACCTATGGATTGGAGTACATTTGTAGGTATCAAGCTAAACAATGAATTATTACTACTATCTCAAATAAAATAAAATCAAACTGAGTGTAGTCAACTGATGAATACATTTAATAAAATACAATAATAAATCAAGACCCAAAAGTTTATGATTATAACTTTTGACTAACAGCTCATTTACTTTAAAACCCATTGGAATGGCTGTTCTTTTTATGGTGATGCAGAGTGCTATCTAATTCATTAACTAATTAATTTTTAGTTTTAAATTGCTAAAGGAAACATTCTATAATAGGCCATGCTATTTTTCCAAGTTACAAAGATACGGTAGCTTTCATTTTTTCCTATATTCTTAAACAGGTTTTTATTACAAGTGTTTCTCTCATAGCTTAATGACCAGTCTTTTTATAAACCTCATTGTGGAACTTACCATAATTTTTTACATCAATAAAAGTTCTGAGTTCTAGAACCTAGCAGTAAAGAATCATTTTTGCAAATAATGAAAAAATGATTGGGATACAAATGCTACTTTGGGAATAATAATGCCTATCAATAGCAGTGCAATAATAAATTCTATTTATGTATTTTTCAAATTTATATTTAATAATAAAAATAAAGTTCAAGAAGAAACCAATTTCCCCCAAAAATTCTATTACCTGGAAAAAACTAAATAATTTAAATAAAATAATGAAATAATTTTAAACAAACTTTCTGATTTATTAGATCAGATCCAGAGGTTTAATCGCAAATTCAACAATACAGGATTTAGTAGCTAGTAAAAATGCTTAGAATAGTAGCCAAAATGTCTTAAATTAAGAGATATAGGTTACAGTCACATAAGATGATAAAATAGTTTTAGGTAGCTATGTTAGTATTATTTAGAATATGTTAGCTTAGAATACAAGTTATATATAATTATAGCGCATATCTTGCAGAAAAAAAAATATAAAAACATCTATGGTTTTAAAATACTGTCCTTCGTATAATCTTATTAGAAGTGGCTCAATTTTAATTTTTGATAGAATTTTGGTTAAACATTCATCAAAGATATCTTTATTTCTTCACCTGTTAGCTCCTTCCACATAAGTATTAGAAATAAATACCAAGATATTAAAAAGTTAATAGATAACCTGGAATGGGGGAGAATGACTTTGGAGATTGTGGCTGTTTTAATTGACATATTAAAATATTGCTATGAAATAATGAGTGTGAATTTAGTCATAATAAGCCTGATGTAACTTCCCGCTGAGGCATGTTTTGCTTAGTGAACAGACCACTTGGATATATTTACATAAGATGTTGAACCAAGACTAGCAACCCACATCATCAAGGTTAGTGCAATGTCTTACCCAATGAATATAAAATTGAGAAAGTCCTACATGGTTAGGATAGTGATTCAGCAGATTAGGGACTTAG